GTTGCCTCTCGAGTCCCCGTTTTTTCTCTTGTCCCATCAGGGAGTTCGGCGTCCCTTTTTATACTTTCTTGCCAGTCCTGTACTTTCCTTATTTACTTTGCATTTCATTCTCGGCCTTGTTCTCGTTCCCGACGTCAGGTACCAAGAGTCCCTTTGTATTTCAATCGAATTTCAGGGTTGCTAGATTTATTCATTAATCGCTGGTTCTCGGGAGTGAAAAGAGTAAAGAAGAGATAATGAAAGAAGATTATACGCGTTTAGTGCGTGCTTGAACTGAAATGAGATGTTCAGTATTATCAACGATCATAGTAGATCATAAAATTTCTAGTCAAGTATTGGATACATTGTTAAAAAATCTTAGGACAATTTCTTATTTTCAATGTTCGATATTTTTCTCTCTAGCAAGTAGTAAAAGTTTTCAAATCTTCAAATTGGGCGTATTTTTGAAACATAGTATCTGTCCTAAGATTCTTGAACAATGTACACTTTCACAAAAAGTTACTTTTACTGTGTTACATCTCATTGTACAGTTTATTCTAAATTCTTAAATTTTTTTTTTGTTTCAGGTAAGTAATCTGAGGTTCATCTTTTCAAATAGACCGATACTTGGACATTTGCATTCGGAACGGTTTCAAGTAAGTTCTTATCATTTCATATGTGAAATATAAAATTGTACAAAATATCTGATTTTAACACGAAACATTATAAGTCAATATTTCAAACGACATATTTATGTATGGAAATGAATACATAATTCTACCAACTATCATACAAATGAAACATTCGAGCAAACATTTCATGAAATTATTAAATTTCATCCTAATTGGTATCATTAACTATCTATAGTTACAATATAACAATAATATTCGAATACTGTATACAGTAATAATATAATTTAACATTATAATTCGACATGCAATTTAAGGATTACTAAAAAGACGAATGTACGAATAGTATAGTATTTAGTATAGTATCTATTAATTTCCACCAGTCATCACCATACGTTTCATCGAGCATAGACGTCCACTGCAGAAGATTCAGCGAGATTTTCCGCAAAAATCGATGGAAAGTTTATTCATTCATCGATCTTCCTTTTTTTTCTTCTTCTTCTTCCACCGAGCCGTTTTTTGCCACCTTTTTGTCAGGCTCTTTCTCCATTTTCCTCGTTGTCCCATAACTCTGGGCGCGTTCACGTCGCCCCGGTGAAATCTCTTTTCCAAGTCTGGCGTAGTTTTCTCTCACGGTGCAGTACTCATCGGCTGAATTTGCATCGGCTCGACATTTGTGTACACACACGCCAACCACGAGGACTCCCCGCAAAAACCGCACGCTCGAATCACGTTCCGCGCGTTTTCGCACGCTTCGCCGCCTGCGTTCTGTCCACCTCGAAATCTTCGAAATCTACCGAACTCGACAGCACGCTGTTGCGACTCTTCTTTCATTCTTCTTCTTAAGTTCGTTTCTCCTTCGCAAAGCCTCGTAAAGCCGGAAATGATCAGTTAATTGAAATAACTTTTTTTTTCTCTCTCTCTCTCTTTCCCCAATGAACTAAATTAAAACAGAGGTGATTGATTAATTTTTTATTTCATTAAGATTTGGTAGAGCAAGCGTGTATTAGAGATTTGAATAACTTTTCGTCAAATACACAAATAGAAGCTACTTCTATTTCTTGCCCTTGAATTTCTCTGATAAGAGTTTTATGCTCCAGCTATTTGTAGTTCTGGTGTTAATATCGTAAGCACAGATTCAGCTGCAAGAACACGTTATTTACACATTAATCGTTCAGAATCAACAAGTCGTCCGAATCAGCTTCTTTTTGTGTTAAAGTGACTTCATTTGTTCGCAGTGATATTCAATTAGATTTATCAATGTTAAAAGTCCTTTTAAAGGAACTGGAAATTTCTTTTGTGGTTGTGTATTTCATATCAGTTTTGAATCGTTTCCACATTGTATGTGGTATTGGACTCTGCAGCTTCAAATATTTGGATGCTGTTAATTATTCGTATTAATTCTCAAACAATGGATGCTTCAAATACAGCGAATGTAGATCTCATACTATATTTATTAATAACATCATATTAATTATTACTTGGAACATATGTATATATAACATAAAATCGATAAAAAAAAAATACTTCAAATCTACAATTTAAAGTCTAAATACTTGATTTTTTTCTAATGTTATTTCCATTCCGGCTGAAAACTCGAATCCATTCAAATCCAAGTGCTTCATTTTTCCTACAAATATTACTTTCATTCAAACTGAAAACTTGGCCCATTAGCAGCCTAATTATATCAGAGGGAGGGAGGGGGGAGGGAAGCGATTCCGGAATGATTTCAACACAGCGATAGTAAATCATTTCCTCAAGGTTTCCCAGCGAGCGTCGCTAATACGACGACGATGTCGACTGGATGACCGATATTCTTGCATATCGTTGAGGTTCCCAAGGGAAATCTTCGCATTCCGACGATCCGTATTACCGTCAAGTTCCACACGCCGTTTTCTCCCGTCTCTTCCACACCCGCTCTTTTTCCACCCTTCTTTTTCATATTTTCTCCCTCCCCTCCCCTGCAACATCTTTCTCTCTCCCAGCTTCGTGCAGTTCATTTCCATGAAATCCTTTTCGAGGGCGAATTTTCGATGAAGCAGACACGGAACGATCGCCGGCGAAAAAAAGAGAAAATGGACTAGGCTTCTTATTTTCACTGGAGCTTCAGGGACGTTTCTCGAGTCAGTTATCATTTTTCTGTAGACTTTCTTCTTCCTGAAACGTTGCTTGCTTCGAATTGGTTATTCAAACGCGTCAGTCTGCTGATCTCTGTTTTTATCTTTTCTTCAATGTTTGTCGTCAATGAATCGCATAATCGATTTAACTCCCTATTTAACTCCGGGAAGATACTTGTAAATTACTTGGGATTTCTCAGTTGAACGTCCGATTCGATTCGAATTGATTCATTGGACTTCCAGCCGGGAATTTGCTTCGTGCTTTGGTTAGTTTAAAAAGTAGTTTCGTTACTGTAGATTTTTTTTTGTTTTTTGGAAATAGTTTTATAACAATTACAAAGTAACTGCAAGTCTGACGAAAATTTACTTAGTTTATTTAAAAAGGATTATATTTTTTAAAAGTAGCTCCAAGATCCGCAAGATCTTGAGTTAACTATTTTATAGTTCCTTTTCCTCCTGGGAAATATCATTTCCTCGGAAGAGGAGGTTTTTTTTTAAATTTGAATGGAGTTGTGTGAAATATTATTCGATAGCGCGCGTAGCTTGCACGAGCTGTGAAAAATGAGATTTCTATAGAATCACTCTTCGAATTCACGTCATTTTTATCGAAGATTCCAACTATTGTCAGCTTTTTAAATATAAATTTAATCTCTCGTGCTCTTTCACACTTTCGTATATATTTATACTCTCTTTCATACTTGCGATTATTCCACAAACGTAATATTGCCATATAATTTCAATTGCTGGCTCCAATTTACAGCTTTTAATTCTTTGTTATCGCTCGTAAACTACTTACAGCAAAGATCGTATGTGTTAAAAATATTTCATCTTTGTCGCTTTCTTTCATGGAATTGAACGCATTTGAAATGTGCTACGTTATTTGTTCATAAACAAACGATTAAATCCGAAACAAGAAAATAGAAATACATGGTGTCGCCTGGAAGTTGCAATAACCTGTAGAGTGTTATGAAAGACCACGGTTTTAACCTTCTATTTCATCCTCCATTCACTTCCTTATTTTATCTTCCTCTGTCCCGTTAAATTGAAATATAACAGCCACCTCATTGCCTGCTTTCCTTTTCCCCTATTTTTTAAAGATTTTTCCGTGTACCTCGAAAGTTGGTAAAAAAAATTAGTGAAAGAAAAAAAAAACAGGACTTTTGATGTAAACCTTTTAACGCTAGAACTGTCAAAGTAAATTATACAGAAATCAGAGGAAAGTTTGTATTACAATAGAAAACACAGTTTGTGTATTTTAAGCCGTTTAAATCATAGAGATACACCGTGGTGAATGTAAATTATAAAATTTCTGCGAAGAATTGTAAACGTAGTCTCTTCGATTATTCTGATAGTTCTATCGTTAAAGTTTTTGAGTTTTAGATATCAGAGATATCTTGTATCAGATATTTAAACACTATCTTTATTGCCAAAATGAATTTTTTCAAATATTTATTTAAACATTACTGATGTTTAACATTGTCAATTAGCGGGCGTTCGTGCATCATTAAGCGTTAAAAAAATCTAACAGAACGCGCGTGACATTCAAAGATATAAAATATCCAAATATTCAGTAGATAAAACAAATTTCCACTCATTTTTTTCTTTCTCCTTTTAGTTCCGTTTATAGAAATATGAAATCTACAACGACAGAACTTAAACAACAAGCAAGTATTTTCAGATAACGCGAATAATTCCGCGACTATTAATCTAACTTTGTAAACGAGCAAAGCGCTCCCTTGCGTGATCGCGAAACGGTTAAACGTAATTCATTCTCTTTGATACGTGATTCTTTCGACGCGGCTGGCAAATGCTGCTAATTTCGCGGAATCGTCGGTGGTTAGGTAGGAGTTTTGGGTGTTGCTTGCAAGCTTTTTCAGCCGGCAAACGTGTCGATAATCGAGGTGAGAAGCAGATTGCTTCGAGAAACCGAGAGCGCCTCGCTGAAAATGTAGAAACGTAAGTACACGTTTGCGGTCCGGCTTCGTTCAGTTTTCGTGGTCGCTCGATTTTCCACCATTCAGTGAAAATGGCGTGATTGAAATGTGAAAAGAAGATTGAAATCAACCTGCAACGATCTACCAGTCGATTTCTATTTTCGCGATGCTTCGGGAATATTTTTGCTTTGCGATTGATATTCGCTGGAGCACATATTTTTCGTCTCGAATTTGTCTGCTGTACGAACTGATTAACGTAGAGAAATCATTTCTTTGAACTTTAAATTTAGAAATCTACAACAGTTACATACTAATATTCTAACCAATTAGTGTACTTTGAATATTTTATATACTTTTGTCATATATATCTTTCCATCTTCATATCGAAGAAAACTTTTTTAAATATTTGGGAAAAGTGTTATAAGAGCTATACATTTAAAGTTTAGAATTTAAAGACACCTTTCGTTCTACCTATATTAAAATTGAATTCGAATCAAAAATGCGCTTGAATTTCAATACACCAAAATTCTAGATCGTTTTTATTAACAACACAATACATTTGTCATTTAACCAACTAAAATACAACGCAGAACATCGTAAAAGAATTGGAACGGAGAGTACGTGCACCAACCCTTAAAAGAGGCTCGAACGTTTTCGTAAAACTGTGCGCGTTTCGAGGCCAAATCAGAGATTCATCCGATCCGTGCGTGAAACAGTTATACAGAACTGATGCCAGTGATCCACGAGAGGCACCGTTAGATCAACTCACGGTGCACGGCATGTTCAGTTTCGAATTACGACACGCGGCGCGCGTTTTTCACGGTTTTACTCCCGCGCTCGTTGCTGCATGCGCACCTGCAAGAACGAGACGAGATTTCGCTGTGGATCGTACCACACGGCCGAGCTATTGGCGTAACAAATTAGATCGTTACACGGTGTTACAATCCTACTTGGAATTCAATCGGGATACCATTTCCTGCGCTTCGTCACCCGGTCAGTGCTTACGACCGACCTATTGATCTGAATCTCGGCCGCTAGGGATGCGATCAGGTTCAACGTGTCCTCGCAGATCTGCTTCACGTTTGATATCTGAGTTTTGTCTCTCTGTGGATATCTCGAATCATTCGTGAGGATGTTTCGATAATTATAATTATATATTTTGTTACATGATATTGTATTCAACATTTCATTTTAAATATTCATTTTATTTCAAGACAATATTTCTTTTTATTACATTGATATTCGCAAGCGACAAATGAATACATATGCAGTAGATAAATGTACATGTAGGCACATATACAATATACATGTACATATATGATATACATATACAAATATAAATGGAAGATATACATTTGAAAATACATATAAATATAAATATTCAATATAATGCGTAAGTAATATGTGAATCTTACGTTTATTAGAAAGATTCGAAATATTATTAGGAAGTATTTATGAGTACAATATTATTAGGAAGTACAAATTTGTGAGTAGGTTTTTGAAACTTGCACTTGGAGAAGACTTGCACTTTAAGCGAACATAATCTTTGAGAATCATGTATAAAAAAGACACGTGCTCCATCATGTTGACAAAATATCAATTATCAAAACTGTCACATGCAAGAAGAGTTTTACAAAAGTCAATCACATTAAAAAATTAAATATTTTTTACATATAATGAACTTCACCAGAAACGTGTTTCTTTCAATCCAAATTTTCAGAGTCTATTTTCGAAGAACATTCGAACTATCTCGCTTGAATTCGCTTGAATATACTTGTAAGGTAACTTAACTCGAAATTCAACGACAAGATTCGAACATAATTGTACTCGATCCTGTCGAATAATTTATTTATGAACATCGTCATTCGCTGGCGAATGTTCAATTTCCACGTCGATCTGGACAAACGTTTTCATTGGCGAAGAATTTATGGATTTCGTTGTTTCTTCGGGCTACGCCACTTCATTAAATTATTCGCCTCTTGCAATTTCACGCTCGATCGATTGCTAACGCGCGTCTCGCGGGTGGGTTTTCGCGTTCCGTGGGATATCGAAGCGCCGTGAGTTTCTAACCGATCGACTCGACGCGATGAAATTAATGTCTGCAACTACCGGCTGTTAGCTTCCTTTTTTTCGTAACTTTGGTAGACTTTGTTGGATGGCTTGTGTAACAATCGCGCTTGAAAGTCTGCGTGTTTGAAGTATTGTTTAACAGAGATTTCTTCCTTCAGTTTTTTTCAACGTTAAACATCGTCTTAAGATGTTTAAATTGTTTCAAGATACAGGAAATAGAAAAAAAAAAAAAATTGTAAAAATTAACAGATTAAACCTCTCTTTTATTTCTCTGGATACTGCAAACCTCATTTTTCACGCGATGAATCAGAAAAGTACTTCCGAATTTTGACAATCCAACATCTCACTTACATTGTACCGTAGATTTCGAAATTTCTATCACTGAAAGCGTAAGTCGGAATAGCGCGAGTCACTCGAAAACATCAAAATTCACAAAGTGAATGGAAATGTTCGTGCTGTCCGTTGCGTATATCGATAAATCAACGACGAACGTGTAAAACTCGAAAGTGCCCAATAAATAACACTCAGCAGTGACCCTTGGATTTCCACGGTTCTCTCCCCCTCCACCCCTCCCAAAGAAATCCCGATTTTCCGGTTTCCGCTGGATCCGCCCGGCGCGCAGCGAGTCGCGGTAGATCACGCGCGGCGTGCGTTCGCCATAAATCAGCCGAGCTGTTTATCTGGACGGCGACTTTTATATCGTCGGTTATCGGCCGATCTCGATCGCTATCGCGGCGTACGCGCAAAACTCCGGGCAAGCGTTTAAATATCCCGCCGGTCGTATGTAAGTACTCACGAGGGCTGTGCGTCCGCGACGTCGGCGTAGAGGAAAGAGCCACCTATAAGAAAGGTATGAGAAAAAGAGGAAGAGGTACGCACACACGCGGCGGACATGCCGGAAGCGGGCAGCCGTTGCAGACCTCCGCGATCGATATCAGATCCTCGAAGATAATCGGCAATTAAGCTTGCGAAAGGACTGTACACCGTGCCGGTGGGTCGTTAGGCTGACCCAAACGTGGCAGCCAAGGGATTCTGGGAACACGGACCAGCGACACGTCTTCATTAGCCTTTCATGAACGCTACTCTCGTATCTCATCCTCTCTGTATATATCTGTGTGTATGTGTACGTACGTGTGTGTTGCTCGTGCACAGGATGTTTCCAGTTTTCCCGGACAAAACTCGTAATGAGGTACTGAGTTTCTACTCTCGATTTTTCGGCGACTCACCGCGAGGTCTTGACTACTTCGAGCGTGGGACAAACTTATCGCAACTAATTTTCTTGGGAAGAAAGTTTCAAACGAAAAGATTTCATTTCTGATTTTTTTTTTTTTTTTTTTTTTTTTT